GTCCTTGACTAATCGCCTGAGTTCATTGAAATCAGCTTTCCTAAAGTCTAGCACTTTCACCCTACTAGTTACCTTACCCACTCAGCGTCTTATGGTGAATTCTATTATTTGGTGATCACTGTCCAAGGTGACTACCAGTCTGTAGGTCCCCTACCATATCATCCCCTGTTGCCAATACCAGGTCCAGTAAGGCATTCCCCCTAGTGGGACCGTGTACCTCCTGCATCAGGTGGAGGTCCTGTACGCAGGATAGGAACGTGCGTGAATGGTGGGACTTTGCTGTCTGTGTCTCCCAGCAGATGTCTGGGTAGTTTAGGTCCCCCATGACTACCGCCTCCTTAGTTTTTATGGTCTCTGAGAGCTGCCTCATGGACATTGCCAAGACCATTGAAGGAGAAACCTAACTCAAGAGAGATGCATAATCACATTTTGGTCATGCGCACAGGTGTCATCCATTGCAGTGATTCAAAAAAGCAGAGCTTTTTGCATGGGGAGTTTTAGTTCCACAGCCTGCTTTACATCAAACTAGCATCTTTCCGTTAACATCTGTAATGTGCTCGTAAAGTCTATTAGTCCTCTTTTAGCCCTTTCTAAACGATTTATAAAGATCCAACTAATATAAAGTGTAACCTTAGGCAGATCATTCCAGATCCCAGGCCTTCTGCCTTTGAACTCAGTGGCAAAAATTACAGTCATCAATGAAAGCAGGATCATGACCATTCTCCGTTTTAAGTGGCTGGGGTCAGACCCATTTGGAAGAAGCTGCATTGAGACCCTGCTGAATGATGCCACAGAAGGACATCTTTGAAAGGGGTGATGCATGGCTTAACATTATTTGACCATCCATTTGCTTTAAAATATTATTCCTAAAACAATCAAATGAGTTCACTAAGAGCAAAAAAACCCCCAACAAAACGTTCGGTTCTGAAATGATCCCTGAAAAAGCTCATTTGAAACCAACCAGGAAATCAGAATCTCAGATGAGGAATCGAAACAAGGGGTTACCTTATGTTGGAGCCAGCTGAGGTATTCAACACATTTCGTAAGCAAGGAGCACAGCCAAGTCTATCACTACAGTTTCTTAAAGCTAACCTCAGTCAGTTCACAGTGAGTTGTGGCCATATGATTTGCTCTCTTAACTGCTGTAGAGACTCTCTTGAAGGTTTGTATTAGTTTTTATAGAAGAGACATGGCACAAACGGGACTTATAATTTTTCTGCTCATTACCATACTACTGCTGGATCAGACGACTGGTCAGCCCTCCAGATTCAAAACCAGAAAGCACAGTAAACGTCGAGTGAAAGGTAATCCGTTTTATTCTGGGGAGAGTGTATACCTGGGGGTTTTTATACCTGGGGTTTTATAGTGTGCTTGCACACTATTTGATTAATCAGAAATTAGTAGTATGTAAATACTTATTAACAAAGGAAATCTTTGCCTGTGTTTATCCCATCGAGAGAAAGGACTTTATATACATTATTTAGGTTACAAGCAGAGTCTGATATGTCAGACTGGATTTGCAAATTGGTACAGGTGCATAGGGACAGACACTGCGCTCTCAATTGTGCCTATTATATCCCACTGAAATTATTTAGGATACATAGATTTAACTGAGGGTTTAACTTTGGTCTCTCATATTTAGTTATGATGGATAATGCTAGGAAGAATCATGTACAGGAAACCCTCGCTATTCGCAGGCTCCGCATTCCCAGTTTTAAATATTTTCACAGTTTCAAATATTCACAAATGCTGAACCCGCATCTTAAATACACTTACAGGAGCTCCTCGGGAGCTTAGTGCTTGCCACCGCTGGGTCCCACTGCTGCCAGCGCAGCTATGCCCTCTCCCCCAGCCACTGGGGGCACTGTTTTCACGAGCACAGACAGCATTCATGAACGCAGTGCTGTATTTGCAGATCTTGCCATTTGCGGGGATCTCAAGAACGTATCCCCCGCGAATGGAAAGGGTCTCCTGTATCATGTTCATCTAGTCTAAACAAGCAGAATAAAATAATAAGCCTCTAAGATATAATATATTCCAACAATAATCCAATGCTAGAGAGTTTTTTGCATTTTTGGTGAGAATATTTGAGAGAGAGTTGTAGAATAGTATTTTGCCTGGTTATCAAATGCTATAAAATGGTGCAAATAAAAAAGAACTAGTGGAGAAGAAGCACAGAGTAAATGCCCCAAAGGAGGACTTAGATAACCCTCTTGAATATTGTTCATCAATTAGATTTAAACTCTTACTTCCATTTTTTTTTAAGCACAGTGTACGCTGCATAGTTGGTGAGTACTTAACCACTAGTCAGTGATGAGTCAGTAGCTTTCTAAGGCCATTTCATAGCGTGGTCTCTCGATTCTTAAACTAAGGAGTATTTGCATATGTATTTCCCTGTCTAGTAAATGTATCTATCCCCTTTCTTTTGAGTTCCATAAGAGTTTTTTGATTCCATGAATTTTACTGTAAAACAATGGCATTTTTCTACCACGTATGAAAACATACCTGCTTTTTCCCGCTAGGTTTAATATTCAAATCTCTTATACATCATTTTTTAGTTCAACATAAACTCACTTTTTTCTCCTCTGTTCCTTATTTTTGTTGTTGATGTTTTCTTTTGTTCTTTACCCCCAAACCTTAGTTATTAACTGAAAAAAAATGGAACAAGAGACACTAAGGTGAAGCTGCTGTGTGGGATGTGCAAGATTTTTTCTCTGCCACCATTTTGTTGGTGGTGTTTGAAGCGCAACAAAATGGTTACTTATTGTCCTACGGCAGGTTTTGTTTTAATTTGCTATGTTCATATGATCAACATTTCTGTAAATAAACAGTATGCTTCTCCTGCCCGTATTTAAACTCCGTGCACATGCACATTGAGGAGTTGGTGCAGAACTGAATGTGCAAATTCTGGACTCTATTATAAACTGGCATACAGATGATCAGCGACCAATAGTTACCTGTGATCCACATTTTTTTCAGGCAGCTACTAAAACGTGCTCACATTGAAAGCTGTGATTAAATTGGGGGATGAAAGGCCAGGTCATACTTTTCTCATATGAGGCCCAGAGATTCTCTAATTAAGCCAGCATTTAGGAAAATTAGAAGGTAGCGTGCCTCTTCACCTTAGAGCCACCCCTATTCCACAGGGGTCAATAGGAGGTTTGCCACTTACTTCAATGGGGCCGGCGTATCAGCCCTAATATCTAGGTTATCCTACTTTTGCCCACAGGTTAATAAACCAGGCACAAGGTCTGAAGATTTTCTCTTAGAAACCCACACAATAAAATTTTTGTTCATAAAGGATTCAGAGCAAAGAACACCTGCATAATTGTTTGTTTAATTGCACCCCAGGAGCCCACTACTAATTTATGTACTTTTCCTGTTAATTAGCATGTTTACAGTATTCATTGCAAATTGCTTGAATCAGCCACAGCAGTAACAGTAATAATAAACTAACATTTTCCAATTCAGGCACCTAATACAGGGTACCAAAAAGTGGGTCTGGGCTTTGCTTGAAGTTCTTTTGCTAAGTGTATGAAACAGGCTCCAAAATTATCATTAGAAGCCCAGTCTTAAAAAGCAAAAATCAATTGAACCGAATTCTCAACTCCATCATCAAATCCTCATGAGTAAATATCTTTTTATATAGGGGCACAAACAAAGGCCTTCTGCATGTCTTCAAAAATAATGACTGATCCCTACTTTAGACTTTGAATTTATACTTCAGCAGCCTACCATAGTGCTAAACTTTGCCCTGGTAAGCTAGTTTTATCAAATGCAGTTACTAAAATCAGTTATTTATGCAATTGCATGGTTCATGAACGTTTGTGGTTCTGCTCCATTATCACATTGCTATAATCCCACTGACTTCTTTGGAAAAATGTCCATAGTTGTCACTTAAAACAGAACTGGACCCTGGGTAAGGATTTTATGTAGTTTGTATTCATTACAATTACATTGGTTTAGATATTGCATGTCTATGACAGGGAATTAATTGTTATTTAATTCTGTTGTATTTTGATTGTCTCTGAAAAACTCTGGACTTTTTTCACCTGGGGGAGGGCAGGGAGTGATTTCATCAATATTGTAATTACTACTGACATATTTATCTCCACAAAAGGCAGTTCTGACTTGGAGACATTCTTGGATGTATGTCGATGTATGTTATTGTATTTTTATTAGTTTGCTTCTTTGTTTGCTTATTTAAGAAAAGGATGATCTGAAGACTCAGATTGACAAGCTGTGGCGAGAAGTAAATTCCCTGAAAGAAATGCAAGCGCTTCAGACAGGTAGACCATGTTTTATTGGCTCATTGTTACAAGAAAACATCCTTCCACCACCTGACATACTACATCTTTAAAGAGGCATTCTGCCTCCTTGACAAGCAGGATTCCTTACCACTATGAGCTTTCCAAAGAAATGAAAAAGATAGCACCAAGAATAAATTGGGAGCTATAAAAGCGAAACTTGAGTGGAGACAAACTCTTTAATTCTTTTCCATTTAAATCTATTCAAATTTTTGCATGCTGCAGGACTGGTTCCCAGGATCTACATTATTTCTGCAAGGATAATACTGCAGTAGCCACGTACTGATGGCATTAGTATAATGATGGCCTTTATGTAATAATGAAATGCTATGACTAAATATTGCTTAATAGCGAGCACACACTGCCACCAGATGTTCTGCTGAGAGAAAGTGGCTACTACTGTAAACCACCTGAGCCTGTGCACATCTGTATATCTTTGGCAGCTCCAGGTGTCTCCACTCAGCAGCTCTGCCACCAGAGCATATCGTTCATGTACCACTGAAGGGACCACAGCCCCCCAGCAGAAGGTGAGGGAGTGTCTACACATACTTTTTGCTAGATGCTGGTTGGTGGCAGAAGCTTTACTCCACTTAGTAGAGGTGGTATAGATGAGGTTTGGATGTGGACAGAGTGTCAGGAAATTTCTGCCAAGTGGTCGTGAACAACTTTCCCTTTTCACATGGCTAAGTGGGCAGAGAGTTTAGATCACACTGGGAGTGGGGGGACAAGTCTGAAAAGATGGATCATTGCATGGAAAAGTCTGGGAATCTATAGCTTATGTAAGAGAGGTTAGGAGGCTAGAAATTTCTTGAAGTGTACGAGTTGTTAAATTCAAATGTTAATATTACTATAAAACCAAGTTTCAAAGCAACAATCACCAATAGTTGAGGGTTGGCCTGATTGAATATACAGAAGCTTTAGAACAGGGGTTCCCAAAGTTTTTATGCCACGGTCCAGAAGTGGCCATGGCCCGGCAAACTGCAACCAAGCAGTCACAGCCAACCACAGCTGGAATTTCCAGCCAGAAGACAGGTAAAGATACCTCCAGGCAGGGTGGGGGCAAACCCTACACTGCCACGGGCCCTGCAGAAGGAGCCACAGCCTCTCCACCCGGCTCTGGCAGGCCATGGTTTGCCAGTCCATGGCCACTTCCGGTCTGGCAACCGACCCACCACAGCCTGGCACTGGGCTGCAGCCCAGGGATTGAGAACCCCTGTTTTAGAAAGTCTGATGGACATTTGCAAAATAAGGAGAGTAATTAACTATCCAGTTAGGAAATGGTTCTATTGTGCTGCCCTTAAAAAAGTTGGGAGTTACACATGTTGGGGGGACATTGGACTGGAAATGACATCACTGACATGAGATGAAACATTTTTTGACAAGAAGAATGGTATTTGAGGAAGTTAGTTTGTTACACAAACTAACTAGTTACACAAACTAACTTACAAAAGTTAGTTTTTAGTTTTACAAAACATATTTCCCTTTTAAATAGTCATAGGAATGTTGATTTGAGCGAATGATTTATAGCTAACTAAATAGAAGTCTGTGCTAAGCAATAATTTTCTGGTTCAGAAAGTAAATCTTGTCCTGCTTCTCCAAGTAGCCAGAGAATAAATGTTCAGCAGCTCAGAATTCAAACCAAAGCCAAAAGGAAGTCAACCATCAACACCTATTTTTGCCTTGTTTTATATGTAGAACCTACAATGGTCAAGTGGGTTCTAAATATGACAAAAAAGAGGTCATCCATGTCTTGCTCTCATCACACATGGTTGCTAAGAATCCCATAACACTTTTAAAAAGAGCTGAGTGTTTTAATTCACAGGGATGCTCAAGATTTCCATATTACAACGAGACTTATTAGTGCACTATTTCTCCTAGTTTCTCTTTGTCATATGCTATTGTGCACTGTTGCTAAATGACCTTTATCAATAGAGGCTTTCCACTTCAAAGATGGCTAAATTTCAGTGATAACTGTATGGCTATCGATACATAGTTTTTAAAGTCTTTTGGCAATCTTTCCAGATGAAAGATCTCCTATAAAGACAAGTTAAGGATTATTGTATCATTTGCCTCTTGTAACTTTCCTAGTTGCAGTGGGTGAAAAACTTGAAGGATGTTCTTCAGCACTTCAAGAAGTTGAAGAATGAAATGATGAGTAATGATGAACATAAAATGCAACTGATGGATTCATTTCATTACTCTAATTGAAAATACTGCTGGCCTTGCAAATACACGACTTGATCCAAAGTCGCTAAAGTAGATGGATTTGTGAGTCTTTGGATCAGAACCTTAGGAAATCCTGACATAGAAAACAAGCACAAATTTAAAACGTTCAGGGATTTGCAACAGTTTAGAAGAGTTAAACATGGGAGATGCTCATATATTTTTCACAAAAGAAGAAACTCTTTCTAAAATATGCATAAAGCATCATGACCGCAGGGCATCTATTCAAGGCAATAAAACATTTAGCACTTATGAAAAACAGAGCCTTTAGGAGAGTTGTGGGACTGCCACATATGGCTTTACATGAACTTACCTCTTGAAATCCTTGTCTTAATGCAAGTGAATATTATTTGTGTGAAAAGCAGTAGAGGGATATATTAACTTGGGTTTTGGGACATAAACATGAAATACTGGAATTGCTGCTAATTATGGGACTGACGTAGACATCTGCATAGGTAATCTTGCATTTTTGGTGCAGAGGTACTGAATGGTGACTTTGTTTTTGAGACTTTTTGAGTGGAAACCTTCGTCTTGGCTAGTTTTGTGCACAGTGGAAGAAAGCTCTTTGGAAGCATTTATCGGAGTCACCTCAGTTCCATGTAATTGTCTGCATTACAGGAGAAGAGAAGTGATAGTTCACCAAGGGTTAACAGTTCATTCCAGCAAACCCTTCCGTATGTGAGTAAAGCTGAAGAAACTATAATGACTGCTCTTCAAGGTGAATTGCAGGCTATAAGCCAAATGTATATCCTAGTGCATTTGTTTTTGGCATTAAAACATTCCTGATATGTTCCGCTAGATGAAACCAATGAAGACCTAGGCTTTGCAAAGGACAAGCTGGCTCTCCTTGTGGTCTGTTACCACATGGGTTGTACAGACAAAAACAAACAGTTTAGTAAATGAGGACAGAATGTCGACTTTTAATGACAATGTGTGCACTGTCTCCTTTAGAAAAAGGCATCTATAGCCCTAACTCACTCTAGGTCACTTGAAATGGGAGTCTGAAGGGAAGGGATTTATTTAGCTGAAGGAATGAACTGCCTGGAAATGAAGAGCTAGAGGTAATTGTTTTATGTCTTCTGTAAGCTCTTCTGCCAGTGGCAATATTTATTCGTCACCTGTCCCAAAATGATGAATTTCAAATCAATATCTTTCAGACAAGCAAGACACTGTAAACAGCACTGCAGCAACATCTGTCCCATACTTGTTTGCTAGGAAGTAGGCTTAGTTAATGCAGAATGCTTTACTTTGGCACTTTAAATGTCCTAAGTATGAAAAGACCTTTAGATCTAGACTTTGGTGCAAAGCCAAGTATACACTTCTTGATGTCTTAGCCTCATCTGCCAACAATACAAACATCCATTTCACTGCGGAATAAGTTATGAAACTGAGGAAGGGAGGCAAAATATGCAAAAGTGGCGGTAAGGACTATTTATAAAAGTCGGTCGTAAGACAGAGAAACAACAGGCCAAGGTCATTTTTAGCATTCTGAAATAACAGAATAAGAAATCATGAGGAAATGAAGTTACTGGACGGGACTGGGATAGAGGGCTCAATGTTCCTTCCTATAAATAAGCTACAAGTCAGATTTTTTTAAAGCACCGTACAGAGTTCCAGTCACAAGCCACATGGGTGTTAAGTGGGATTCATGTCCAGCAGCATAATAAGCGGTGGGCAGCCAGGTCACCAGCTGGTGCCCAATTAGAGGAGTCATGTGAACTGCAGCTGCTGCCAGCCCAGGTGCCACAGCTACCACAGCTGGACTGGCTCTTCCTGCTGCTGTCACCCAGGGTGCAGTCCCTGGCTCTTACGCCTCTACATGTGACTAAATCCCATAGGTACTTTAGAAAATCTCTCCCTAAAGACTCAACCTTTTTTAAAGCTATTCGTTTCTTACTGAATATGTCAAATCAAATCTGTTCACAGTCTGTCTTCGTGGAACGAAGGTTCATAAGAAGTGCTACCTCGTGTCAGAAGGTGCTAAGCATTTCCACGAAGCCAATGAAGACTGCATAGCCAAAGGAGGGACGCTGGCTATCCCCAGAGATAACGAAGAAACCAATGTTCTTCGAGACTATGGCAAGAAAGGCCTTCCAGGGGTGCCGGAGTTCTGGTTGGGTGTCACTGACATGGTAAATGAAGGAAAATTTGTTGATGTCAATGGCATGGCTTTACACTATTTCAACTGGGACCGCGCTCAACCCAATGGTGGGAAGCGTAAAAACTGTGTCTTGTTTTCCCAGCCCTCTCAAGGCAAGTGGGTAGGTGAAGTGTGCCGTACTGCCAAAAGATACATTTGTGAATTTCTGATCCCATAACTTCATTCAGAGCTGGCCATGCCAGCTTATTTAGTCATTAATATGCAGTTTTGCCTGGCAATGACCTTCCCACTTAGACAGTGGTGAACTGAAAATATTTGTTGAAATTCCTCACCATATATACACCTCTTTCAGAGGCGGGAATTTTCTCTCTTAATTTATTTTCCATTCTCTTGCTACAAAATGTCACGTTTAGTGAGTTCTCTCACCACCTAATTTTAGCATATGCCACATAGTGAATATACCTAACACTGGTTTAAGCTGTATTGCATTATATTATCATAGTTTGATGTTCGTTGTTACTAGTGCCTTAAAGGGAAAATTCATCTCAGACCTGCACTTCAGATGTCTATAAATGAGTGTTTACTTCAGCACGCTGGTCAATATTAATGAAAGTGCCATGCACAGAACACCCCATAGGGTGAAATTTGCCAACCTATAAGGTCTCACGATCAACTGAAGTCCCACAATTTAAGTAGATTTTTTAACAATGTGAACTTCTGCATAGGGTGAATTTCACCATAACCAATCCAACAAAGAGTTCAAAGATTTTGACCTAAAGGGAAAAAAACCAAACAAATCTGAAGGTGATACAAAAAAGTATGGAGTTGTAAGTGATATATTCCTGAAAGAAATATTCCCAGTAGATATTCTGAGACATCAGCCAAGCTAGAAACATTTGAGTCTAATCCTAATAGTTCGATTATTATTAAATGTAATACGTACCATTTGGAACATTCTCCTACCCATTTTGAAGCGTCAAATGTAACAATATAGGGCACACAGAAGCACTTTGGAGGAACAGACAGAGGTGTCATACTTCAGAGAGAAACATTACTTCTCCCAGGTTGATGGGATTTATAGTGGGCAATGTACTCCCTTAGGCTATAAACAGATGTCTCATTTGACCCAGGTTGACTGTCCCAGGATTTGATCCGAATTAAAATTGCTGCAGCATAGTCCCGCACATGTGCTGCCCTTGCTGTTCCTTTGCCGGTAAGCGACCAGAGAAAACTCAGTCTGACAGGCTTGTTCCTATAATAAGCTGCAATAGCCATACAGGCATACAACAGAATATTCTGGGAAAATGTACTGGTGGATTTTATCCGGCATACTTGAGAAGGATTTGAAGTGGGATAGTGGACATGTACAAGCCTGGAACAAAAGGCTTTCTTCCGGGACAAGTGTGACATCTGTTTGTAGCCACCTCCACTGACAGGTATAAGGGGTGAGCTGAACCATGTCTTCCTTATGCCTTCCCACTCCTCTCCCAATTACTTCCACTGAGACCTGCATCAGAGGGTTCCCCCTACTTCTCCATAAGCCTCATTAGCCAGGGGGAGCTCTGACCCTCTTTAAATACTATACTTCAAGTTGGGCCTCTTTAAGGACAAGTAGATATCTTCATGGGTAAAAATTGGAATAGCTCCACTACAGTCAAGGGAGCTTCACTGAATCACAGAAGAAGAAATATCACTTCAGTTTTTTGCTGTTCTTAATCTTCCAAAAAAACCTATAAACTACAGAAATTAAATTATAGAAAAAATGGCAACCAAATGCTTTACTTTGCATCAAGCGAATATCACTTATTTTAGTATTATGTTAAGGGTAATTTGTCAGATTTGCATTATAGGACTTGCATTAATTATTTAAATGTACTGCTGCTTGGAGGTCAACTCTTTCTTTTCCTTTATTTAATTGTGCAATAAATCTTTGAATTCTGCAATATATCTGTAATTGCTAGTACTTAATTGTGCTATTTAATTGTATTGTTATTTTGAGAACCCGTACAATCACTATTTCAAATATAGTATATAAGCTTATATGCATTTTTTTTTCTGTAGAAATGATGTATGCATCCTGTGTGGGAAAAAAAAAAGAATTGGATACTGAAATGAATAGAAATCTGCCATTCACTAACTATTTGCTAAAACAAGAAAGCCTGAAGAAGCTTTTTCAATTTGAAATTAGTTTGGGATTCAAATTTAGGATTCAGATTTGAAGTCTTCATACAAATTCAGCTGCACTTGTTACATTTCCACCATCTGGTGCTTAATCATTCATGAGATTTCAGCACTATCGGCCAGTGCCATAGCAAGGGGGGGAGGGGGAGGGGAAAAGTGGGGCAACCGCCCCGGGCACTGAAGCTAAGGGAGGCCAACAAGAGCTACCCAGCTGGGATGGGGCCCAAGATGGAGCTGTAAATGGCTCGTTTGGGGGGGTACAGGGATTGGGGAAGGGTGGCTCCTACCGCTGCACTCTTAGGTAAGCATGGGGGGGGGGCATGTGCCCCCCAGATATGTGCGCAGGGCAAGGGCGGGCTGCTGCTGTGGGCTTTTCCCCAAGCACCAACCTTCCTTGCTACAGCACTGCTGTCAGCTATACAAAATGGACCCATTCTGGTTTTAGATCTAACCTAGAATTAAAATAGTCATGTTCAGGGCTCCATTTGCACATGGGCCCATAGGAAGTCTAGGTGGAGAGCTGCACCTTTATGGAAAATAGTCTGTGCAGCCACATACCTCTGTAGTCACTCCCACCATTAGGACTGGTCAGCATGAGGACAGGAGACCTCCAAAGACAATATTAGGTGTTGCTAGAAATGCTATTGACTTTTTAATATGTGTCAGTTTTTCCAGTAATCCCATGCTCCAGTAAGGTAACAAGGGCCCTATAGGTTTAGTGGGGCGATCTTCCAGGGGAGATATGAAATTACCTGATGGCATCTACTCCTTTACTAAGGTAATTACCACAGGACCAACAGGAGTTAACATGCATTCTCTTGCCAGTTTTCAGTTTGAATAATTCTGTTGTATCTAACAAAATTATCCTCGCAGCTTCAAGCAGATAAGTTATTCTCCTCATCTTCAACAATGGAGCAATGGTGCTGGACCCTAATAAACAGCTGCTCGGTTCCATTCGCAGTGATGGGTGATGGGGTCTTGACTTATCAATCAACATCCTGCTTTTTCTGGTGAAAGTTATGTGGGCAGCAGACCAGTGACAGGAGCAAGTATATTCTTAGACACTGTTTGATGATGCAGGGTAGCATTACTATTACTTCTACTGCACCTGTACCCATGAGAAAGCTATTTCCCCAGTTCAGTGGCTGTCAACCTTTTGCAACTGAAGGAAACCCTCGTGTGACTCAAGGTCCCCCTAAAAAATGTCAGCTCTTAGTTCTCACTCTGTTTTTGATTATGGAAAAATAATAGAGCAATTCTTCCATTGCAAAAAAACCCAAACAGGTCAGAATATTTTCAGCCCTATGGATTTGTATTTGAAATCTCTGTCTTTATCTTGTGAAATATCTTTGCATGTTTGCACACCTAACAGTACTAACGTTGCATGGCACCCTGTAGCACCCTTGAAAGAATCTCAAGGCACCCTAGGGTACCACAGCACCCTGGTTGAGAATCGCTGCCCTAGGTGAATGTCATCTGTTCAGCTCTTCATGAATCTGTCATAAAGCCCAAACCAGACACCTTTTTATTCATCTTCTGAGGGATTTTATCAAAGGAAAACAACCCTTTTCAACAGGCTATCAGGCTCTATTTTGCTCATCAGATGCGGTTGACTTTTGTTGCTGACTTTTAATTGTGATTTAAATGTCTACAATAGCTTGTTATTGCCTTGAGCTCTGGCTCATTGGGCTAGTTAATTAAGTTCACTATGCAAATGTCAGATTCAAAATAATTTTGGAAATGTATTTACAAGTATAGCAACACAGATATATACCAGCTTCAAAGGTGAATTATTTATTTCTTGTCAGTTTTCTTCCTTCTGCTTTAGGTACTAACAAGTTTTTGAGGCTATGTACAGCAGAATGAAGGACAACACTGGAAGACATACTCCAAACTCATTGGATGTCATTGTACACACTGTTAAACAAACAGGTACCTTACTGATAGTCCATGAAGACATGCCTAGTATGGGGACATAACTCAAGGTCTTAAGGAGCCCTGCAAAATATATACCTTTACAGTTCAAGAAAAGCAAAAAAGATGGGGAAAAAGAAGCTGGGAAGGGAAGAGAAATGACTAGGAATGAAGACTGCAGAGCGAACAAAGGAGAAACCGGCACAGTGGAGAACGGGAAAGGAAGATTGAGGCAATCCAGCCATAACAGAAAATGTTCCTCCCACCCTCTTACTCTGATCCATGAATGGCTCCCCAGAGGGGGTCCATGACACTGGTACTTGTGGATCCAGACACCAGTGATGGGAGACCCCCAGCAGCTGATTGCTCAGATAGTGTTAACACATTGTCTAGTACTCCGAGTTCTCCTGTACGCATCCTCCCTCATCCAGCAGACATCGTTAACCACCAGTTGCACACAATTACCTACAGTTCTGTCTCAGGAGAGACCAGGCTTGGGTGCAGATCTTTCCTCCTCTCCCTCCAGGAGTCAGGGTAGCCCCTTGGCTTGAATAAAGAGTCCCAGACCATAGCAAAGCTTTTTTTTTGAACCTGAAAGCTTGCTTAAAAAATGTTTTCCAACTACTTAAGTTGGTCTAATAAAAGATATCAGATTCACCCAATGAACCTTGAGAACATAGCAAAGGCACGCTAGTTCCTTCAACCCAAACTGCTACTCAGCCCTGGTTTCCCTCTGAATCACTTTATGTGATCATGTCCTGTGTGCAAGTGGAGTGATCTGGCAGCAGATGACAGGCAGCAGATACCTAATGGAGAAACAATTCTGGCATTGATTACAGAAAATGTAGGAAGTTTCTAGCCTCTCTGTGCTAATGCTCTAGCCGGTCCAGATGCTGGGACTTGACTTTTGTCCCAGATCAGTAAGTGAAGCAGGCTGCTCACATGTCAACTACTGCTCTTGTGTTTGAGGCAAGAGACTGGGAAGCAGCATGAAAAGCATTGAACTAGTCCCTGAGCTGACATAGCGCAGTAGTGTTCAGACTCTCCTGGAAATAATCAAAGTTTGAGAAAACTGACATAAACCCATTCCTTCATGAAGAGAGACAGAAGGAGCAATGTTTT